ATGCAATGACTTGCCTTTCAAAATAACAGATTGCATATTAAAAAAAATGACACCTCATCTTTACAAATGATTCCTGTCATGGAAGCAAAATGTGATGGATGATAAATTAAAAACATTGAAGTTCGACAGTTTGTAGGCTTTTGCTCCGTTTAAAAACCCAAGAAATGTCTGTCCCCTCCAACATTTCTAGCTAAATATAAAACATTTACAAAGTGTTTTAACTAAGAAAAGAACAGATGACTCATTCTAAAGTCACACATCTTCTGTATGTTTTATTACAGTATGTTTAAACACTGCTCCCTACGGCCTCATTTCCTTCAGATTCGCTCCTCTATTCAAACAACCACATAGGGCTCGGTGGATGGAAAAGAATATTCTTTTGCCTTCATTCAGAGTGTTCATAGAAGCACATGCTGTCCCTCTTCCTTTTTCTAGAGAGAGGATATTACCTCCATGAAAAGTGAAAGGAAAGACGACAGCTTTTCAAGAACTTAACGCTCTTTTAACCGCTGGCAGATATGTCTGTCTTCATCCCACAAATATTAAAGCTTCAAACAAAATGTCATGCAGAAAATCTTGCTGCTGCATTTTAATACGTAAATAAAATTCAGTTAAAGAACTTGGAGATTTGTGTGTTAGAATACAATTGCCTCTAACGGCCAGGTTATCCTTATTGCTGATTTAAATCAAAAATAAATGTATATAAATAATTTAAGTTTGAGCAGTTTTCCTGATATGTTCTTGTGACCCGGTTGTTTGTTTTGTAAACAACATCAGGCCAAACTTCCCACTTGTTGACAATAAATATAAGCATATTCATGATCTCCCCAAATATGCACATTTCTGCTTTGCAAGAGCTTTCCTCTAAAGCCGTTGTCAGGGCAAATATTATAAATTCATCCCCACTACTAGTTTTAATCCCAGAATTGCAAATGTGTGTTGTTGCCACAGTAACAGAAAGCAATAAATCGTGTGCAGAGGATCTAACGAGGCTGCTCCAACTTTTTTTTATTCTGTTTTTATTTTGGTCACATTTTGTGCCATAATGTTTTGTCAGGTGTAATATATGTAGATACACTGTAGACTCTTCTGCATTTCCCTACAGGTATTAATCAAGGCTTATCTTATATTAGAATGACCCAATGTGTTTATCTTTTACTAATGTGCACATCTCATGGATAAGTCTGCACAAATATGAGGTGTTTGATTAACCTCTTGTCAAGTAGTTTTGTATTATTTTTGGAGCATTTTAATTGAAAGCATTCTACTTTCTAAATGGATGATTTAGCAGTCTATACTTTATGCAGTACATGTGTTTGAGTGGATTTAAGGACACACACACACACACACACACACACACACACACACACACACACACACACACACACACACACACACACACACACACACACACACACACACACACACACACACACACACACACAAGTGTTCACATACAGCAAGCCAGCAGATCCTGTCTGGCAGCACCCAACAAAACACCTGCTGACCTTTACTTTTCTGTCTCTCAACTGACCTCCATCTGCTTCCTTTAGGTGACTGTGTGACAGTGAGGGTGTGTGTGTGTGTGTGTGTGTGTGTGTGTGTGTGTGTGTGTGTGTGTGTGTGTGTGTGTGTGTGTGTGTGTGTGTGTGTGTGTGTGTGTGTGTGTGTGTGTGTGTGAAGTTTGGAAAGGTTGACACACTGTGATTGTGAGTGTCCATCCTGTGTGTGTATAAGCTGCCTTGTAATGCCAGCTCAGTCATTAAAGTGGCGCTGCCACAGCGGATCTTGCCGCAGCAGAATGACTGCAGGTCCTCTCGAGTAAAACAATCTCGCCTCAGTATTCACATTGTTTCAGCCAGCTGCTCCTCCAGCGACTCAGACTGAACAGGTGAATCCAGGTGAAACCTTAAATCCCACGGCAATTTCAACCATCAACACTGCTTCGGCCATGAAGGTTAGGTTTTTGATGAGAGCCGTGATCCCTGCCATTTCCTGGCATTGGGCGCAAAACGAAAATAACCCTGGGCTGCTGGTTTCATTGTGGCTTTTTATTTCAGCTATTCACAGAACATTGCACACTTTAAAACAGTCCCCTCATATGGCTCCTGGGAGTTGTGTAAAATCTACAGTATATGTGCAAGTTGAACAAACTCCACCTCAGGCATTTACTGTATGCGTGGAGAAAATGACTTCACTCAAAAGCCAACTGCTTTGTTTTTTCTGACACTCTGTTACCTACAGCATGTGTTAAGCCATGGTGGCTATGGCAACCATCCACCTTTTTCTATACAGTATCCTCTTCACTCTTAGTGTTGCTGCTTTACTGTAACATAGCACAGGTCTATGCATCAGAGATAATATACCTGGAGATACCAACACTGTCAAACTATCCTTAAATACACATTTACACACACAAATGGGGTGAAGCCTGCGAGCTAGTTCAGGCAGTCAACTCGAGCACTTATGCTGCATTCATACATAACGCGCCTTGCCACTCTACAACCAACCAAACAGAGTCTTCTTAATATGCCGCTCTATTTAACCTGCCAGATCTCTCTCTATGCATTGCTTGCTGCTGCTATTGCTGCTGCTACTTCCACGTCGCTGCTGCTTGCCTGACCCACCACCACCCCAGCTTCCACCTGCAGACTCGGGGGGTTAGTTATTTAATCATCACTCATCGTGCTATGTATATCTGTGGAGTGATGAGGCCCGAGCCTAGACGCCAAACTCAACTATATGCTGCTTCTAATAAACATGTTAAAGAAACACGTGAGTTGTCTGACTGAACTACATTGTTTTTTACAAACAATGTGTAATAGTCACGTAAGTCAATAATCAAAAATAAAAGCAGGCTTGAAATAAGTAGCAGCAATTAAAATAACAGACTGACTTGAGTCATGCTCTCTTTGTCTACTCCTCTCCAAGGAGCAATATATTGCAATGTAAATTTGAATACATATATCCACAGGTAAATATGTTAATTATACATATGTAAATATTTCCCTCCGAGCTTAGAGAGGAGTGTGGGCTCGCAGGCTATGCACTATTCATCAGAGTAAGCAGTGAGGTTCTTATCAGGATTAAGGCAGCCAGGATGCAACGCATGGATTTAAAAATGTCTTTGATGTTGCATGCATGTATGAATCTTCTATTTTGCAAAACAGTGTGTGTTTTTATGTCTACTCTTTAGAAGCACCTGCTGTCAAATCAAAAAGAAATCTATCACAATCCTTTAAACCTTTTTTTCTTCAGCCTTGGTTTCAGATAGCGAAATGTTGGCTCATTTCAGTGGAGAGGTAATGAAGTTCACACCTGCAAATGCAATATGTCTCAGATACCCATTTATGATCAGATGTAGCTTCAACACTCTCTACGTTGTATCTGTGGAAACATGTAACAGCTGCAAAACCAAAAATAGATTCCCGCACTGTGCCATAGAGAAAGGGATTGTATGGCTATTTGCATACTGAATAAAAAGTACATAAAAAGAGAGACAAAAGGTTGGATAAAAAAGTGAAACAAGACCATGAAGAGAGAGGGGCTAAGAGAGAAAGATACACAGGAAGGGGTGGAGAGAGAGGAAGAACATGGAGACTCGCCTCGGGTCAGGAACGAGCTTAGGGAGGTTTGTCATGCAATAATTATACAGCATTTACTTTGTTCAGAGTATTTGACGATGCCTTTGTGTTCACACAACACTTAATGTAGATAAATGGGAACTGACAATGCCAAATGTGACACGAGAGATCTGACACTGTCTTCACGGTGAATGTTGGGTTAGGGTTATGCAATAAAAGCTTTTTGGTTAAGGGCAGGGGAAGACCATGGTCATAGATCTCCATGTTAATTGGCAGGTCTGAGACAGGCTTTCTGCCCAACAAACAGTCTTTGTTTGCTCCACAAAGGTTATACCTGCCAGGACAAAGGCTGTTTTGGAATTGAAACGACCCACGAAATACATTTTGGACAATGTTAGCAGCATGGCTCAACAAATTGGGATGTTGGTCCGTGCACCACTTTGGTTCAAACAGAAAGATCTCCACAACTATTGGATGGATTACGATGGATTTGTATACTGATTATTTGTGTTATTCAGTTGCACTGTGTGTTTTGTGCTAATTAGCAAATGTTATATGTACATGCTAGACTAAGGAGATGAACATGGTAAACATTATATATATTATTTGAATCTCTTTTGTTTGTTTTTTTGCTATTTGTGTTTATTTCCGTGATACAATTGGTCCCATGATCCTCTATTATAATAGAGCCATAATACTTTCATGTCTCTTCTTCTTCTTCTTCTTCTCCTCAATGTCATTCCCTCATCTGCAGACATGTAGCAAAACGTTTAAAAGTTTACCCACCATTGCACAGATGTTTTTTTCTCTCTGATTAGTCTGTCTCTTTCATTCCATGTCATCCAACTTAATTGGTTTCCTTCTTCTCCTCCAATCAGCATCCATCTCTCTTCCAGGAGATCCCATGGAAATGTTGAATTGTTCTGAAATGTCTACAGTGAGCCGGACTAAATGACTCAGCAGCCTTGTCATTAAGTCTTATTCCTTTTAGCTTCAGTTTCTTTGCAGTCATTCAAGGCCTTTTTTTAATTTCTTTTGAAGGCAGCCAGACACATTCACAGTCTGGGTTTCTTTTCTTTGATAGCTCAAGGCTGTACACAATTGAGCCTTTTAGAAAAGTCGGGATAAAAGCAACCCCTTTCTACCTAGATCTTATTATGCCTGTTAGGATGTTTTCAAGTATCTGTTGATTTTGTGAAAGTGTGTGAGTTTTTGGAAGAGGAAGACGTTTTTTGTCCACCACATGCAACACATTTATCAATGAAAGACTGAAAATGTGATGTCGCTGTGCTACCACAATTGAACTTGCTCTCTGCTCAGACCAGAGGTGTTGCTATGTGTCTCTGTGAAATGTGACTTCAGAGGTTATACTCAATATGCTAACGTGTGCTTCTCATGTTTTGATCTGCTTTACAGAGCATGACAAGCACCGCCTATGCAAAAGTACTGAATACATGAATCTTCACTTCAAAGTCAAATGGTTCCATAATGAGTATGTTCGTGACCTGCCGGCCTTCAAGGGTGTTCCACCTGAGTATTCACTGTAAGTGTCCTCTCGTTTTCACACACATGTACATGCAGATATAAATTAACATGCATACACATTTACATTACTGTACGTACCAAAGTATGGAGCTTTTAAGGTGAGACTGCAGCAATTATGTCAAAAGAAATGAATATAGGTGACAACACCTAACATTTCCGTGTTGATTTCTGATACTAATATTGCTCATATTTACCAAACAAAAGGGAAATGAATCCTACTATCATTTATATAATGACAAAAGGAGGAACCCAAAGATTGATCTCTGTGGAACTCCATAGGAAAATGTTTTGTAGTGTAGCCTGAAAACATTCTCCATACCAAATTACTTTTTTATGTATATGTCAATTTGACAATATGTAGTTTTTCTTTTAATAATTTGTTTGCACAGATTTGAATGCGCAGATGTTCCTTTTCATTAGGTATGATAGTCCAAATCTCCAGAACCTCATTTAAGTCTGAAGTAGCAATGTTTTTTCTTTAATCTGAAATCCTTTTCTAGTATCACAAAACAATACAGCTTTATTTGTAAAGCACTTTAAAACCTCCAGATGGTAGTGCTATAAAGAAAAATAAATAAAATACAAAAATCACAGCTCAGCTCACAAACCATAAAATAAGTAAAACTACAGATAAAAAAGTAAAAATAACAAAATAAAACCAGCCGTATGATAAAAACAATAGACCATTTAAGAGCAATAAAAGCAACAATCCACATCACAGGAACCATTGTCAGAACAATTATGTAATGGTCAAGATTGCGAGTCCAATGCATGTAAGACAGTGAATCGTGGTAGTTGAAGCTTATCCTAAACTGTTTTGGATGAGGGGACAAATGCATAGCCTAAAAGCATTTTTGCGTTCTTCTTTTTTCGTGTAGCACTGTGTTATAGTGTGCATACATAATCATGTGCAACAAAGCTGCAAATAGCTGCACTGTGAACATGTGTAATGCAGGCAGTGAACGCAATGCCCTCTCCCATCCTGCCAGGCTATCAGAGTAATAATTCACCCTCCCCCTCTCCAACTCTGTCACTCAAACACCATCTCTCATATGATTGATTCCTCCCCGGACACACACACACACACACACACACACACACACACACACACACACACACACACACACACACACACACACACACACACACACACACACACACACACACACACACACACACACACACACACACACACACACACACACACACACACACACATAAACATATACACAACCGGTCTTTTTCTGCCTGTCTCACTTCCCTTTCTCAGTTGCCACACCCACCTTATTTATCCTTCCTTTAGCAGATGTCCTTAGCCAGAGTACAAAGCCGTTTTGGGGGGACATCCGCTGCTCTGAGGACAAGCTGCAGGCACTTTATTAAACAAGGAAATGGCAAAGTGAAACAGACACAACAGCATTATTATTCCACAAACAAATTTACTTCCTTACCCTGCTCATCCGGCCCGGCCTGTCGTGTCCTCTGCTGTCCTCTGTCTGAGCCTCGCAGTCGAATCTGTCCACAAACTGAAACCTGATATCAATGCCTTCATGGGTTGAAGCCTTAGCCAAAACCACACTGAAATCCTGAGGTTTTTTCAAGATATCTTAACTTGAAGTCGTTTTTTATTGATCTCTATTAAATACATTAGTTCCCCTAGAATTGTTAAACAATAAAAACAAATCTTGTCATTTTTCTCACATAATAAACCCTGATTCATCTGGTGCTACCGAAGGATTAATTAAATGTTTAAAAAACTATGATTTGACCCTTCAATTACAGCAAGTGTTTCTTTTCCAGGTGGTTTGAGCCGTTTGTCATTCAGTGGCTTGATGAGAATGAGGACGTTGCCATGGATTTCCTAAATGGCGCTCTGGAAAGGGACAAGAAAGATGGAGTAAGTATAGCAATGAATTATTTTTTTATATGTAGCTTTATATTTAACCAACCAAGCCACTTAAGACTGCTTTCTTATTCACAAGGACAGATGCTGAGACTGAATGTACCTCTTGAGGGTTTGGGGGATTAAGGAAATGTTGCACAAGACAAGAATATGAATGACATTTAAATTACGAATTGATAAAAACAGGGGGGAAACACTTTTTTCAGAGCAGTGAAAGGCACGAAAGGATATTAGGAAATAATAAAAGGAAATATGCATAAGCCTTATACAAATTTGATACAAAGTGATTTAAATAAATTGATGCATCTTCTATCTATGCACTTTACATACAGTATGTGATTTATATCACCTAGAAAGTCCTCTAAACAAAGTAAAAATTGTAACCAAGATATTTACAGTATGATTGAGTATGACCTGTTTGTCAATCATAGTGAATAAATGCAGAAATTCAAACGGTTCCAGAGATAACTATATAGATGTTAAACGGGTGTGAGTGTTAAATGTCATTATTGCACCTCAGCTGTTAATGACCATTCACACATAAAGGGTTAACATAACACCTTCTGATATAATTGTCAGTCAGTGGTCGTCCCTGTGAGCGATGGATTTATAAAGTAATTGGTACAAATGGTCAAATGTTCACTTCGCTTTGCCTAATTGTTTCAGTTAAAGGTTAACAAATCTGCTGTCTCTCTTCCTTCAGTTCCAGCAAACCTCGGAGCACGCCCTCTTTTCCTGTTCGGTGGTTGACGTGTTCACGCAGCTAAACCAGAGCTTCGAGATCATCAAGAAGCTGGAGTGTCCGAACCCGCAGGCTCTGGCTCACTTCATGTGCCGATTTGCGAAGGTCAGAGTCTTTGGAAAGCCCCTCCTTCGTCCCCCTGTGAACCCTAAACACTCCTGTGGGAAGTAATAACTCACAGTTAAATAGTTTGCCATTGATCTAAGGAGACTCAGTGGTATATGTATTCGATTTGATCCTATCTTGTTATTAGGTTGTGACTGCCTAAATCTTTTCAGTGTGTTCCAGAAATTCAATAAAAGAACGGCAAACAAACTGTAATTACACAATTGTTTCTCTCCCTCCCTACAGACTATCAACAAAGTTCTTCTGCAATATGCTGCAATCATATCCAAGGACTTTCCTTTGCATTTAAACAAGGAGAACGTGGTAAGTGACCTGCCACAGAGTTAATAGCAATGGTTGAGTGTATTTTGTTGCAGTGCAAATATAGTTAGTCAGATAATAGTGTTTCCATGTGTGTCTCTAACCGTGGTTTGCATGGAGAGAGCTCCAGATTTGCAGCCAACTCCCGCCTTTTGTAACGGACTTAATAAAGTGTCTCTATTAACCAAGATGCAATTATTCATGTCACAGCCGTTAGCTGATTGAGAAAAGTCCCTGGTATTTTTCTGGGTTCTCTGTCCATTGTTAATGTGATGGATGACTAAATGCAGAGCCTTCCGAGTGGCCTAATTATCCTCACTGGTCTTTGAAGTTCAACTGAGAGATAGCACGCGGGGTACTGGCGGAGGAGGCAGATGTTTCCTCACAGTGTTGACAGGCTCATTACAATTGTCTCAGAGAAAACCTGAAATGTCCCTCCTCGAGACAGGGTTGAGCACACAGATGATGGAGAGAAAAAAAAGGTAATGAGAGGCAGATGGAAGAGAAAAGTGGTGGGATTATGTCAAATTAAACCTTGTCAATCATTTGTTAGACTTATATAGAACATGACCCAAATCCCCGAGCCATATTTACCAAGAATTTACTGTGTGTCTGTCTTTGCCCCAAAAACTGAAACATAGAGCGGTTTTATTATTAACGATGAAAATCTAGAGCAGTGATTCCTAACTTTTGTATTTATTCCATGAACCCCTCTTTTTCCGTTTTAGTCTATGAAGTCCAGAGTGATGTCACAGCAGCTGTTAAATACAAATATGTGTCTCTTCTCTCAAGCTAAACATATGTAGCTAAGGGATATCTCCTTTGATTTGATCTAGATTTAGCATATTACCACTCTCCTATAGTATATGCTCATCAATCTAGTAAGCTATTATGTGCTGCAGCTGAAACACTTTTGTCTGTTTTTTTGGTTTCAAAAAACATCAATTATTGTTTTCCAGTGGGGCGCAGAATAATCACTTTAGTACCATCATTAGCACGATCATAATTTTGGGTTTGTCAGTTGTTTTTTTGGGTAGATGATGTACATAATCTGTGCCTGACTGAAAACTCTGAAGAATGACTCCATAAAAAGCAGTGTGATTAATGTCCAACAGCTGTTTAACTTGTTGTGCAGCTGAGAATCAATAAAGCCTGACAAACTCAGTGTAGACATTTCGCTCCCTGTTGTATTATGTATTGTATTTCCCTGTTGACTGACTGTCAATGTTGTTTCAGAAATCTAATATCTTTGTAAAAAAGATGTGTCAGAAAATCAAAACTGATGGATTTGACGTTTTGTAACCCCCTGACAAAGTGTTGCAATTATAGGGTCTCAAGCTGACAAGTGTTACATTACAATGGCTGTTCAAAAAGGGAGAACTAGGCTTTTCTAGGATGTGTTTCTGACACATGTTGTTCGCTGTCCTTTAGGAGGCAATATTGGTTAATTAATTCTTACACTCTTTCAGCCCTGCATCATCCTCAACAACATCCAGCAGCTCCGAGTCCAACTGGAGAAGATGTTCGAGTCCATGGGAGGCAAACAGGTCTGTGCCTAAGTGTGTATGTCTGCAGTGCCTTTGTCACATTTTGAGACAATTCACTTTCATTTCAATTGAGATTTACTATTCTAACTTTAAAAAATATTAATTTCAAGGCAAAAAATGTATGCATTATTACAATGTACTTCTTCAATGATCTGCATTCATCCACTGGAAGGTTAAAACACAAGGTTGGCTAAAGTGTCGTCGGGGCTTCAAAGGATTCAGTGTCTTTCTAAAGGACACTTCAGCAAGGTTACCGGTTCTTATGAGGGTTTACGTCTACATCCTGGGATCAGCTCTCTGCTGTGGAATAAATGCTGTGTCATGATCATGTAAATGATCATTTGTGATGACATTTATATGAAGTGAAAGTGAATTGACCCCTACAGTGAGTTGCTGTAATCCTTCCCTCCAATCTGTACTAAACCACCTGATAGACTAATCTGACATGTAGTTCAGTTTGCCAGTGTCACCTTTTTCTACAGTTCCTAAATAACTCCCTCTGTACCCCATCACTGTTCCCCTACCTCTAACCCCCCCCCTCCTGTGTATAACATGTGTTGTAAATATTGAGTGAAACCCTATGAATCTGTGTGTTTGATGTGAATCACCCGTGACTGTGTTCCTGTCAGTCGAACCTGAGAAGGTGAAGCATGTGTCTCCAGTTTCTAATGCCTGTCTTGCCTTGCGTTTTGTCTCCCGTCGTTGTGTCTTCTGTTTCCCCCCCGTTTCCTTTCTGTGCTCTCTCTCTCTGTCTCCAGGAGGAGGGGGTTGTGTCCTTCTGTAAGGTGTGTGCAATAGGACTCTTCAACACCCCTTCCCACCATTTAGCGAATGATACGAAACAGCACGCCCCCTCCCTCCCTGTTCCTCCCTGCCACCCCTCACGCTCTTACGCTTTTCACCCCACTCCCCCAACCCCTCCAGCAGCATGTGCCACAGAGCATACGGAAACTGAATTACCCATCACCCCTCTGGACAGGCTGCTCAAGCTCACCATCCCCGGCGCTCTGGGGATAGTGGCTCAACCCACCCGATGCCATCTTTATTTTTAGCTTGCTTTCTTTCCCGTCGTCCACTATGGCTAATTTAGTAGAGCGATACGAGTTCGTTGTTGCCTATTTTTTACACGACCCAAAAAAGGGAGTCAGAGATTCGCCAAGCTGCTGGTTGTGGTTTTGATCATCTCTATCCCCGAGCTGCAGCTACAAAATGCTTCAGACCGGATTTTTCAGACCGTGTTTAATGAGCTTCTCAAACACTTACTAATCTCTCCAGCTGTGTCCTCGGCTGAAGTGGTGCCACCTCCACACAGTTAGCCATTTGAAACCTGGATCACTCCCAGCCCATTATTGTCTGAGAGTAATGACACCAAAAGTCTTCAAAAAGTTAAATTATATTCATTGTAAATGGGCAATCATATATTTCTTTATACTCATTTTAAATAATTTCTCTTGAATACTAATCATACAGCCGAGGTGTATTAAGGTAACATTTTGATATGAGTTTCCTCCTCTGCACAGTAGCCTATTCATTACAGAATAGTTCCCTATCAGCAATTAACTCCCAGAGAGCCAATGTAATTACCAAAAGCTGTTATCATCGCATTACCAATAACAAAGATTAGCAATAATCTCTTACAGTGCCCACATTTATGGACTGATTTCCCTAGATTGGTTTCGGACGTTATTTTTGGTGTCAGCCTGTTTGCTAATGTGTTTTTCTCACTTAAAGAGATGTTGGTTTAATAAACCTTTATTTACTTTGCACTGTTCAGGAACAACTATGTCTCCGAATGACAACCTGCCAGCGAGTAGATATTGTATTGTTTGAACAGGCGAAGGGAAGCAAAGCTGGGCTGCTGTTGATAGGCTGTCAGCCAGCGCAGAGTTTGTGCACTCTGGAGGACTCTGGATGTCAGTCAGCATCGAGTGAAAGTAGCTTTGGAGGAGTCAGGTGCTCTGATTCTAAAATTGATGTTTTCCTCTTGCAGGAATTAAAATAAAGTACTTTCTATAAATGCAAATTGAGAGCCAATTACCTATTCGTAGTACCACATATACCTTAATATAAGTAGTAATCATTACATTATTCTCCACATGAAATCAAATCGTTTTAGAAGATTTTATATTTTCGTCCTGAGAAATGCCTTACTTGGCAAGTCAGAGTACCTTTGAATGAAGGCTTTTCAGAGAGGATTGCAGTCGTCAGGTGGACATTTGATTCGAGCACCAGGCATTTCACAGTCAGTACAGAATATTCGTCTCTCGGTAGCTGACAGGTGGCCTGATTTATCCAAGAGCAGAGCGAATTTCCTGTAGCAGCATGCCCATTTAGACAGTGACAATCACACAGTGTTCATGGGGAAAAAAATCTTAGTTTCAGAGACTGACAGGCTGCAGATTATAGCACAGTCTTAAACTTTCCACAGACAAAGAGTAAATGATAAAAGACCAAGGCCTACAGTATGTTTTGCTATCACCTGAAAAGATGTTATCCGTTACTCAAAGCGTAAAATCACAGCCCCAACTATATGGTCAATTTTCTCTGTGACAGGAAAATCTTGCATGCTGCGATCTTTTCCACTGAGGTGACAGCAGTGTGATCGGTGCACATGCAAACACTAATAAATCTGTTTGTGCTTCAGATAGAGGCATGTCTGCAGAATAACAATATCTTTAAAAGGTTTAGTTTACACATCAGTTTCCCAGCTGAGCCATCCGCCATGATAACGTGCGAGATGAGCGGCTCCATGGCTAAGCTGATCGGTTCTAATATGACGATCTGTCATGCATGTGGTGCGGTGCCTGGCCTCACATCCATCTCAGGCACTGAGCCCCAGCAACGTGTGTTCTCCACCCCCATCCAAAACATTAATGTTTGGACATTTGGTCATGGTGAACATAATTCATAAGCCCTGAGACGAACAGTGTACACAGAAGCACTCATTCATGCAGTTACTTACACACACACAACTGCACTCAACACACAGCACAAATAGTGGATCTCCACTCATGCATTCTCTCAGAAATTGCCCAAAACCACAGAAGTACACACACATTTGCACATCCATCACATGCATAGAGATAGTGCTACAGAAACCCAACACATGCCATGCATGGACACATACATGCTGTCCATCAATTTTGCAAGTATATTTGTGTAAGTTGGTATGGACAATTGTTCATTGCAAGGTCATGTCTAATCATAATTTGTATCATACTATGATTCATGTATGGTTAATGATGTTAAGGCAAAAAGTTCATGGATTAGATGCTTGTACCACAATGTAACTACAGATAGTAATATTAAACATCAACACTCCTAAATAATAAACTAAATATTACAGAGTTGCTCACTCCAGGAGTTTATTGTGAAACACTTGCAGGAACAATTCCTGAACACAAAAGCTCAGTCAGAGGATTTCTGTATCAGAACTTCTGCAGATACAAAGATTTATGTTTATATAAGAGCCAGCTTAATATGACTAAGATGTTACAGTGTCCAAGGTGCCTGACAGCCTATTTTCTCTACTGTACCTTGTGTAGTAGTGCACACAAATATTCCATTTTGAGAGACCACTAGCTGGCTGCCTTTTTGCTGAAATCATGTCTTATGACTCGGCAAGCAGTCATCATTGCAGCGCTCGGAGGTGAGCCGTCCATTTGTATTCAGGGCATCTCTCGGCACAGATGGCAGGCAGAATGAGAGGGAGGCCACCAGCGAGGCAGGTTACCTCTCCTCTGTGCCTGTCGGCTCCCCCCTTAACACCCGGCACCCCCAGCGCATTTGAGGCAGAGATTCAGAGCTCTAGTGAGCTAGTGTATGAAGTGTAATGATGTAGTAACTGTCCTTCTTTCTCCACAGCTGGATGCAGAGGCCAGTGATTTGCTGAAGGAGCTGCAGAATAAACTCAACACGGTGCTGGATGAGCTCAGCGGAGTGTTTGGCTCCAGGTGTGCATTAATGTGACTCAACATCTGTGTGTGTGGGTCTGTGTGTGTCTGTGTGTGTGTGTTCGACTACACGACTGCTTAGTTATCAGCAATGAATATAATTGACTTGAACTCTTGCTGTGCACAATGCTTAATAAGCAAAAAAAGTTACGAAGCATTTTATCTTGTACAAAAAACGTCCCCTGCCTCTAACACCTTTTTCAATAATATTTTAGGACCAACAAGAATGAGTTACGATCTCCTTAAAAAGTGCTCTACAACAAAAACGAATGGATATTTAAAACCAGATGTTACAAAGTGCTTCCTAAGACAATAAACGCTGATAAATGAATGTTAAAACAATAAGTCTTAAAACATATCAGTACATATCAAACATAAACGTAACATGTATCTACAAATGCATACACACAAACAGACAAACACAGACACTGTATGTATTGTACTGTATATACATTTAACGTATATGCTGTATACCCATTCACACATTTTTCACCACACATCCTGTAATAATAACTGCATGTCTACGCATTAACATATACAGTTTGGAAGTCCAAACTCAGGAATGAACTTCTGCTGCAGTGTTTAATATTAAACCAGTAGCAAAAGACTGTTTTTTTTTCCAACTCACAGTTTCCAAGGTGTGATAGAGGACTGTGTGAAGCAGATGAACCAGGAGCTGGTTCAGATGAAAGGGCCGGCCAAAGGAAGCAACGCTGCCATGGACGCAGAGACCGTCCTCAGACCTCTTATGGACCTCCTGGATAAAAAGTGAGTATATACTATATTATATTTGTAGCTGTTTTGTTACTGTTGTCTTAAGTCTGTGCAACCCTCTTTTGTAAAACAATTTAAAGTCATTCATTCAGTTAATAGGCTCAGCCATCCATTGCCATGAAGGTTGAGAGCTTTGGCCTTGAAGTGATGTTTAATAATTCTTCACCTGGTGAAATGTGCTCAAGATGTGTGAAAGGAAGGAGTGTGGATGGTTTTGCTCAAACCTTTAAAAGTGACGTGGCCAGTGGGCTCACAACAGCTGTCTTGTATCTATTGTTTTTGTAAATGAATGTTATCACTTTACTGTTATACTCCTATGTTATTCTCTTTGCACTCAAAACGTTCCTGCTGCTTGTTATAGCACCTGATACAACGATGTTTCTTTAAGGAAAACCTACATCCCTGCCTCTTATTCAAACTGGCTGGTCTTAAAGTTTAATAGGATTAAATTCTATGCAAAAAATAATGAAGTATACCATCCGAGAATGTGTCTTTCAATATTTTTCATTTAAGTGCATGGGAAGAACGATGATTAATCCATCCTCACCCACGCAATTGTCAGACAAATGTTAAGGCTACGCTTGGTTCCCTCTCAGCTAAACAATGTTAGCTCTGTGAACACTGTTTCTTTTGTTTCAAATATTTTGGATGTTAGCATAGTAAGCTGCTAGTTGTAAATTGTATGCAAGTGTCCTGAATCATTGATATGCCCTCAATTCAATATTAAGAACATTTTGTTATGTTGATGAATACATTGTGAATAAAACTGCTAATAAAATGAATAATGCAGCATATAATAATTACCATTTACATTTGTTTTCAGAAAAAAAGCAGAGACTTGCAGTATCTGTGAATGTCTATTAATTCAACCTATGGACTGTATTTATTCTGTGTCGTTCTTGAAAGAACCGAAGTGGTGATATGGTTCAGCTGAGCTCTAGGAATCTCTCTCCACCATTTTTCATAGCAACATTGAGGCCAATAGGGTATTACAGGGAATCCTCTTAATGATATGGAAATACCAAATCCTTCCTCCTGTCTCTTAGACCCTTCTTGCACAATGGGGTGAGATTAAAGCACATAGCTGCTGCATTTTATTCTATGAATCACAGGTGCTTTTTATTTATTGAATAACATTATTTATGAATGCGTCATCACTTGTTGAAGCCTTCATTCATGCTGGCTCTGTTTGAGACACATGCTCGGAGTGTTGACCTAACTAACGGCCTTCTTTTCCCGCTCTGCAGTTTGATGTTATTTGCCAAGATCTGTGAAAAGACTGTGCTGAAACGAGTCCTCAAAGAGCTTTGGAAAATCGTGCTGAACATCATCGAGACAACAATAGTTCTGCCTCCTCTGAATGACCAGAGCGTGAGTTGGATCAATTATCTGTCTCCTTCGTTTCTCTGTTATATTTCCATCCCTCGGCCTCCACTCCACCTCCCTCCTCGTCTCCGCCTGTCTCTTTTTCGATTTCCTCCATCTGTTCAGCTCCCCCACATAACACACAAATTACTGTACATGAGATGAAACAACATGGCATCTCTAAATCTTCGCACACGTGGGGAGAATTGTTAATCCTTGTTTTAGAGCCGTGTTGACATCTTTCATTTTGGAAAATCGCATTTACTGTTTTTGTTGTTCTTATCGATGGACATATGAAAGTGCAATTCACGTCAAGCAGTCTTCAAACATTTTTGTTTCTTGGAGCTTCCAAAATAAAATGAAAACACAATAACAGTAATAACTGCATGTTGAGAATTGTAACCCTTCATCTTTACTTGCTTTATATTTTATAATCCTAATGTATACAGTCATTTAAATTATAATCTATTCCTTGTGTAATGATTTAAATATCTCTCTGTCCAACAGCAAGGAGCTCAGATGATCTTCAATGCTGCCAAGGACTTGGGACAGCTGACCAAACTGAAGGTAATTGTTGGAGAAACCCAAGGCGGGTTTTGCTAATCTTAGCGAAGCTAAACCCACTCATTGTCCTCTGAGTAAACCATGACATCTCTAATTTTGCTGAACATGATGTACTATATTGTAAACTGTGTATACGATGAATTATCAGATAATACAGCTCCACATAAACGCAACGCAATACACTTTCTCAAGAGCCTATTTGGTAGAAATGTAACTAAATATCAGCATTAATCACATCATGATAACTTCCAAGAGTTTAAAAAAATATCTTTCTGTAATCATCAATTAAAAGTATTTAATAGGAAATAAAATGATCCGTTGGCTGCAGTTATTTATGCATATGGATTTCATCTACAAATGTGTATAGATGGGTTATGTCATTTGGAAGCATCATTATGTAATCCAATCCAATCCAATCCACTTACCAAAGGGTTTACCAAAGTGCTTCACACCAAACATAACATTATAATAAAATATAATATTACAATAATAGATAAAAGGCACACATAAGAAAAGATAAAAGGATAAAAGGCACACATAAGAATTAATACACGGTACATAAAGGCTATGGACAGACAATAAAAGCATAACAATCGATAAAACGTAGCTCAGACTGACTCGAAAGCTTTTCCCTCGCTTTCGAGTCAGTCAGTTTAGGCGGGTCAGTCAGTTTAGGCGGGACTTAAAAGTTTGGAGGGTGGGCGACAATTTGACATGGGGGGGCAGGTCGTTCCAGAGCCTGGGGGCTACCGCTGAGAAGGCTCGATCTCCCCTGGTCTTTTTCTTGGTTTTAGGGACTACCAGCAGCAGCTGATCAGCCGACCTCAAAGCCCTTCAGGGGGTGTACACCTTTAGGAGGTCGGAGATGTACTGAGGGGCCAGCCCATTAAGCGATATACAAAAAACAAACAATAGAATCTTAAAATGAACTCTAGAATGGACAGGAAGCCAGTGGAGGGAAGCCAGAATTGGTGTGATGTGCTCATGCTTGCATGTTCCTGTAAGCAGCCGAGCCGCAGCGTGCCAGCGAGGTCTTGTTTAGGCCGGCATAAAGTGCATTACAGTAATCTAGACGTGTAGAAACAAAGGCATGAATTACACGCTCAAAGTCTAAAAAGGATAAAAACCGGTTTAATTTCGGACAGGAGCCTCAAGTGATACAAACTGGACTGAACCACAGAGTCTATCTGTTTATCTCATTTAAAAGCACTGTCGATTTTGACGCCCAGGTTAGTGACCATGGGTTTTGCATATGGTTCTACTGGCTTTTCCATTTCAAAGTGTAACTCAGTGCAACACTAGCCAGCCTGGTGTCTAATTGCGCATGTGACCGGAGGATGTGTAATCCCCGGGGCTCTGAGTAGGCACTGGCTCGGATCAGTGGGTACACTGTGGTTTCACTAACAACAGCGCTATGACAATACCTCAGAGAGGAATTTTATTTCACATTCAAATGCGGGATGCAAATGAATAACTGTCTATGTACCTATATGTGTGTGTGTGAGTGTTTACCTGTTGTTGTGTTTGTACTGATGTTGGTGTTTTGTGTGTAAAATGTCCTTTGTGGGAACTTCTGGGTCCAGCTCGTCATCACACAGATGGTTGTTTCCGTCTCTCTCCCAAAGCTTGTTATTTATGATTATGACTGTTTTTGCTTTATGTAGTCCAGTGTACATATGTGTTGTGTTTCTTGCTGTGTTTGTTAAAATGTGTTACATCCTTATTTTCTAAACTCTATTATATTATATTGTATTATTAATGCATGCATATAACCTCATGTACTGCAGGGGTTATACCTACTTTGTATTATGAATACCTTTTAATATTCAAGTGCTCTGAACTTTGACTCATGTAATGGTGGGGATTTGCAGCAGAGTTAATCGGGCTGATATGTCGTTGTCTGAAACAAACAACAATGTTTGCAGGGCTATTTTCACAATCATTTCCATTGGGCTTCACAATCCCATGTTCATTTCTGGGCTGCACTTATCTGCCTTAGCATACATGTATACATCTGCATCATGGCGTTTTCATTAGGGAGAACTATTTCTTCCTGCCTGCGGCCCTCAGTTATTTTGGGACTCACCACATTGTTTTCATAGGATGGGGAGATTACTGGAACTGAGTCAATACAAAGTCAAGTGGCCCCAGTTTAATGTTGGCATCAAAAAGAGACAACTACATTATTAATGCTTTAGTTTTGTTGCAGAATATAGTGGCTACATTTTGTTGAAACAACATTTTTCTGTTTCAGTCTCATTTTTTAATAAGAACTTCATATTATGAATACAGAAGACATGTATGTCTGTTTCGGCTGGAGCCTTTCATTTAAAGGATGGGGAGGGTCATTTCACAGTGCTGCACATTGTGCACACCTCTTGTAGAATAGTTCATGTTGGTTCATTCTTAGCAGCTAGCACTAAGACACACAAGGGACCAGATGTGTGAAAGTGAGTAAGTTACAGTAGCAGCGTTTGCATCTGTGATTTAGTTTCTTCAAAGCCCCTTTTCATAAAGCACTAATGCTATTCTCTTTGTGCCTATAAGGAAAACACCTGGGAAATAAGCCTGAGACAGAAGTAATACATTCACAGACTACAAAAACATTTTTCTTGATTAAACTCGATTTGTTAAACCTCTGGGTGCCTTGCTGCATAACAGGGGTTTTAAATGACTGCAATTGGTGCTGATTTATGAAAGGTAACTAACTGCCCCTGCTGAGGTGCCATGGTTCACCTAAGGCCTTCCACATTAAACTGGAGAAACATCTTAAATTTAAAGTGTTTGAACGTGCCTTTTGTTCCTCCCTCCAGGAGCATGTGACCCGAGAGGAAGCCAGAAGTTTGACTCCACGACAGTGTGCAGCCATGGACCTCGTGCTTCCCACCATCAAGGTGAGTTTTATGGCTTTTATTACACTGTTGGCTGTACAGGGAGTAGACACCTGGATGGCTAAGCTTGACCTTTAGAAAAAGACAGGAGAGGCACATAAAGCATAGCAGAGCAGAGAAATGCAAATGCAAATGGCCTTTAATGAGAGTTGTGTAAATCAAAGACACGGAAAATGGTGAGGCCGTTGCTCATGTCATGAGCTGGGGACGGACTGGGCAGAGATGTAATTGACCCTCTTCTGCTTTCCTCTCTTATTCTGTCTGATGTTTTATAAGGCTGGTTTAAAGCAAACATGGCATACAGTTAATGCTTGACTGGTCGACTAGTAATGTTTATGTAAAGATTCTAACATGCAAAAGGTGCACTCAATAAACCTGTAATGGCATGATGTGTGTTTATATTAATATGATTTATTTTAAATAAAATATAGAGAAATTATTTGTACACTGTCGCCTCACAAATTGCAAAAAGAAAAAGCAAAGACACTTTTTAAAATTTTTAACACATTACTTTTCATGTGCTTCTGATTCAATTAATCGTTTTTTAATCGCAATTACGATTTTGGCTTGCAACGATTAAGAAAACAACGTAATCGAAATAAAACGATTATTTTTTTAATTATAATTTATTTTTTTTATAATTTTTTTTTATTATAATTTTTTTTATTGGTTTTTCAGTTGAATTATACTTAAAGTTCAGGGTAATCAACTGTTCCATTTTTTTTCAATAAATGGATGTTTTCAAAGTAAATGGATAATCGTTTTTAATAATCGTGATATAAATTATTGACCCAAATAATCGAGATTATGATTTTTGCCATAATCGAGCAGCCCTACTTCTGACTGGTGAACTCAATGTAGCTGCAAACAGATGATGCATCCGAATAAGTGACACACTGCTTAGTCTGGACCAATTTGAGAAATGTAATTCATATCTAGAAATATGGAAAGATGCCCGAAGCTTCTCAGCAAAATAAGGTTTGAAATGCAGCGCTGTTAATTTACTGCCATACGACTGTTTGTTGTTAAGGGATTGTGAGACAATTTCCAGACCCGGCCTGAGTTCTGCAGGGATAAGAAAAGAGTTATGGTGGAGGGGCCACTTGGGAAACACTGCATCATAAAGTGCAGAGAAATCTAATTGATTCTGCCGTCTCCAAGGAAACTACCTGCAGGTTTAGATCAATCATGTCGCTGCATTTTGTGTTCATCAGCTCTCCATTGAGATAAGTAAATTAGCGCAGATCAGTAATGCCTTAGGAGAGTTAGCTGATTAAGGATAGAAAGCTAGATGTATGTGTAGGGTTGTTTGCGTCACATTCTTCATACTGCAGGACAACAGCTTTGAACTTGGGATCTACAAAAGAACAAACTTAAGAACAGCCATCATACCCATCCCTGCTTAACCACAGAACACATTATAATGACTGTTAACACACACACACACACACACACACACACACACACACACACACACACACACACACCAAGGACTGTGACACACGTATACACACACCTCCACCCCTGAAAGGAGGCAAACATAAATTAATATAAACAAATATATTTTTCTTTTACCATCTATTTATTATTATTATGTAAATTATGTAGCTAAAGATTACCATTTCGATAGCCGCGTTCACACCAAGTACTTTGCCGTATTTAGTGCCGGCACTCAGAGCCCCGGCACTTATGACCCCAGGGCATTTAGTACAGATCGTGTTCACACCGGAGTACTTTTCCCTGAGGGAAGATTACGCAAATGAGCCGCTGACGTCACTTCGTCTTCTTCTGCTTTGGGTTTACTGGCAGGCAGCAAACAACTTCACGGCGTATACTGCCACCCGGAGTCCTCCGGCCGGAAGTCCCCGGAGTTGGGGACTGGCCTTCCGAGTAAATCGCCAGAACGCCGACACCTCCTCATCTCCACCGCTCCCATGTTTTGTTTTGTGTTGCCATAAGTTAGTCTCTCTGCGTTTGTGCGCTGGGCGAATGCTAATGCTAATAATGCTAATGCGAGGATAATAAAATGGCGGCTCTACAAAACATTTCAGAGTTGTACGGGGCGTGGTTTGCAATTCGCCCAGCCAACCCGAACTGGGGCACTTTTTTCCCCCAGGAAAGTACGATCTCTCAGCAGGCACTAAAAATGGGGGTAAAAGTTCCCGAGATTAAGTGCTCTTTTTGGTGTGAACGCGACATAAGGGGTACTAACGGAACTAAACACGAAAAGTACGGTGAAAAGTACTCCGGTGTGAACGCGGCTATTGAATATACCTAATGCCTTACCTTGCTGCTACTATTGCTTTTATCACTGCTGGTATTTATTTGTTCCTACTCCTTTTACTTGAGAGAGGCAAACTACACTTTGTCGTACCTGATCATGATGACAATAAATATATTCTTATTCTGAGATAATAAACAAAGAGAGTTTAAAAGGAACTTAATGTACTGTACATATTGACTAGTACAGACACAGTCACGATGATGAACTACTAGCATTAGATCTTAATGTTACCCAAAGGGCACATATAGAATAGAATAGACTCTTCAATGGTCACACATGCAGAGCACACAGCACACACAGTGACATTTGGCCTCTGCATTTAACCCATCCTAGTACCAGGAGTCTAGTACTAGGAGCAGTGGGCAGCTATTGTACAGCGCCCGGGGAGCAATGGGAGTGGGGGAGGGGAAGTCCGGTGCCTTGCTCAAGGGCACCGCGGCAGGGCCCAGGAGGTGAACTGGGACCTCTCCAAGTAGCAGTCCACACTCCATATTTAGGTCTGTTTGGAGACTTGAACCGGCGACCCTACGGCGCCCAGTCCACGCCCCTACTGACTGTGCCACTGCCGGACATATATGGTATTAACAAGCCAAAGTACTGTGTTTCAGCCCCAGTATTGCATTTATATATTTCTACAGGAATATTTGAAGTGCATGTAGTGATTATCTAACTGACAATAATTTATCTGGACTGAACTTTGAACTTCTGTGGAAACTAATGGGGGATAATGGGCTGATGCACTGCCCCAAAGACCTGTTGGCAGATGGCTTGCAGTCCATTTAACTGATTCCCCATAATGCACCATTCGTTCCCTTCTGTAAACTCTGACCTGTGAGTGATCGTAGAAGAAAGACAGACTTAGCTTTCCCACCAAATCCAGCTTTGTTGTTCTAGAAAGAGTTGTGTGTGGATGGACTACACATGGGATTATGTATTCTCTTTTTCTTAAAAAACGAATTTGAAAAACAAACATAACACCCTGTTATTAAAATTCCTGTTGTCATATGTAGGGTACTATTTATTTGGGAACTTTTTTTATTTTGAATGCTGGTTTGCTTATATGGAACTGCGCTTTTTTTAATAGTTAGACGTGGGGGTAGGACATAGTGTAGATATTATGACCTTTGATGAAAGGACACTTCAGTAAATCTTAACCTTTGAATTTGATTTGAGTTCTCCAACTAGCAGCAATACCAACTGCAGCATGTACCCATATTCTAAAACATTTCTCCAAAAGCTGCAGCTTCATCATTACTGACAGTAAGCTAAGCCTTGGTTCAGTTTGTCAAGGAAAGCACACACTTTTGATTAGATGTGTTTGCTCGCTGTAGGCTACATTTATGAATATATCGCGCAATATATAATTGATTGTGTGTTTTTTGTGTCTTTCTCTGGGTAAACTCCACCCAAGTCTCACCCCCTGCATGACAGCTTATGCATCATCCACAAATGGCAAATGCCAGACAAATGTTGTGACTCATGAGTTATAAGTGAGGAGGAAAACAGTGCCTCATACTGTGCTGAGTCAGTTCAAAGTGCAGACCCCGATCAAAAAACAATTACCAACCAGCGTGGGGAGCGTCATTCCATGTGGGATGAAGATGATGTGGGAGGCGTGTTGCGCAGTGGGTTGTGCCTTGGTGTTCGGATCAAGGGAGCACAGGTTCAAACCCCACTGCAGTCAGCATGTCGTTGTCTCCCTGGGCAAGACACTTCACCCCAAATTGCTCCTGTGGGGATTGCCCACAGTATTGAGTATGTAAGTCGCTTTGGATAAAAGCGTCTAACAAGTGACATGTAATGTAATGTAATGTAATGATGTGGCTCAAATGGCAGCTAAACGCAATCTCTGTCTACTGTATTTTAAATTGTGTCCAGTGCCTTTGAGGTTATGAGACATATCTCCTTTTTTAACTTTGATCACGACAACAGACCCTACACTAACTCTGCAAACACCTCGACAAATAAACCTGTGTTCCTATAATGATCATGTGTTACAGAGGAGAGCTAGCGAAGGACAAAACAATAAAGGGTTGAGACAGTCTCTCCGAGTACTCATCTTGACTTTTCAGCAACACCTCCTTTTTTAATAAGATCTGTCCTTGGTCACCCTCCAATCCTCCACATGTGGGAGTGGTGACAGTGTTGGAAAGGGGAAGCAAAGCCCTGTCTGTGCTTAACAGGACAAATGTGCATTAACCAAGCAAGCATGGGTTTCAGATTTAAATGCATGGTCATTAGCTACAAAAGGGGCAATTACTGTTGTCTCTTGTCTGCTCTGTTAAAGTGTTTCCCCCTCCTTGTGAAATGCACACTGTCCACATAATAATGGGCTTTTCTCTCAGGCATCTGTATCCAGTCTTGTGTGATCTAAAAAAGAGTTTGCATCATGTCCAATGCTGTTTCAAAGTTTATGTTCACCTCAGGAAAAAGTATAAATCTGTTCTTTCTTGTTTGTTTTTTACAGCAATACTTCCATGCTGGAGGAAACGGGCTGAAGAAAACCTTCCTGGAAAAGAGCCCCGATATGAGGTCCCTCAAATATGCTCTCAGCCTTTACACTCAACCTACAGATGCCTTGATCAAGAAATATATATGCACCCAAACCTCTCAAGGTAATGAGCTAGCCAAGATTGAATTACGTTTCAGTTTAGAGAGTGGCTTTACCTCAGCATTCAAATAATGAAAAACGTAGGTTGGGGCTCTGTTGTTTGTTATAAAGGGACAACATTTCAGCAAGACCATGTGATGCTGTACCATGCTAATTATTGTGGAAACCATTGTGTCACAGCCCTTTTGTCTGACACTAGTTAAGAGTAAACATATTCCAATGAAACTTGATTAACTCTATTAGTGATCAATATGTATTCGGCAGCTGTTGTGGCAGCCATTTGCTCCTGTAACAGTATAGTTTAAGTGATACAGGTGAAAAGCCTTACTACAAATCAGCAGCTGCTTCTATTGGTCGTTAGAAGTGATTACAAATAATGACTCCAGTCCTGGCTTCTTTTAAGCGTTATATATTTCTGTTTTCCCATCAGTGTTAGCTTCCTTTCCACAACAGTCTATGTGCTCTGAGGATCTCTCTGTGTCACGTCATGTTCTTTGGTTGCAACGGAAATCGCAGTAATTGCATTTATCCCCTTAACTGTTTAAGTCATTTATCGCTTTCAGGAGAAAAGAAATAAGCAAACTTTCCAGTGGCCACTTCACCCCATAGCCTGAGGGGCTGGAAGACTTCCATGCTCTATTTCTCTCTTCCTTATTAGAAACACATAACAACCCTGTCATGACACAAACGTATAAGGTACATCCGAAGTGTGAAATGTATAAATTCCCATTTGCGCGCTCGTTCCCTCTGTCATCACAGACCCTCTTTATCTGTTGTCGTCACATCCATCCGTCTCTATATGGAACGTTGTTACTCCATCTCTAACAAGGTGTCCGGAGAGATTGGAGAGGGAACTCTGCCCAGTGGGGCGTGGAAGCTTTAAGCTCCCGGCTGCTCGGTGTGCTCAGCCTGGCAGAACGATGCATACAGTAGGCAGGCAGCAGGAAACAAGATGGCAAACGCAGAAAGCTAGTCAGGCAGGCAGCAGGACCTACGAGCATCCATTCTCTCTGTGTCCTGCAGCATATAAGTGGAACTAGTGAGGTGGTAGATGGGCATTAGGACAGTAAACAGTGTGGGGATGTGATGATGCTTGATGAAGCACAGTGGAGACCGTTTCATTAATCACCAACCCCTGTGCTCTGACACATTTAGACCATGCTATGCTCTCGTCTATTCCCCTCTTCCTGTTTGTTAGAGAGTGTGCTGAAGCCTCCCCGGACAGTAATAATAACACATCTTTTCGTAACACTTTCTATTAAAAAAAAACATACCACCCTTATAGTTCATAAAGAGGCCATCTATAATTCTTCATAACTACACTCATAAACATACATAACACTTTTCAATACACTATAGTTACAGTCATAACACTTTAAAGCTGTGACTTATGTTGAACTACAGACAATTTTGCAATCAGATCACACCAGCAGTGACTTTAAATCAGACCGGGGGCTCAAAGTGGGGTCCAAAAGGCCGCTTCATTATGTTTCTACCTCCCTTGTTCCAGCTCCACTCCCATCTTTGCACTTGACCTTTACTTTGATCTGAGCTGCACACCTGTAAGCTTTCGTAACTGCATTTGCACAGTTGCGGCATTACATGGTCACAGAATCTGTCCCCAGCTAGACAGACAGACAGACGTAGAAGTAGAAACACCTGAATAATTAGTGAAAAAACCTCATCATTGGAAGGTCCTCGTGCAGCAGGTGTCTCCAGAAAGACATGATGCCATGATGACACACACACGCACGCACACACACACACACACGCACACACACACACACACACACACACACACACACACACACACACACACACCAACCTCACTGTTGCGGCTGATAATAAGAGTCTCATATATGCTTTACACCAGCTACAAGAGGTTTACTAATGGGGCTAAAATACATAATGCCGAACTTTACTCTCCTACTGTATATCCACCTCGATAAGCAAGTGAGGTCAGGACTCAGTATGCTAATGAATACATATTGAGGCATATTTAATATTGCATGCTTTATCATGACCTTTTATTGTTGCTGGTAATTAAAGTGTAATGCTTTTTATGCATTTACATAAATCACTGCTGCATCCTTATGGCTTCAAAATGTATAATAATTAGTGTAGTCATAAAGCATTAGGGAAGCAATGCCCTATAGATGGTCTTTGTTCTATCATCTTTGTTCATACAGTACATGTTTTACAGCGTTCTGCCTCAAAAGGAATCTTCTTTTGATGTCTCACTTCCTGTGCATTCAACGTTATTCGAGACAGTAAAGGGCAACACTTTCAATCAATTAACTGCAACTCTGCAACAATTCATGTCTACAACTCACCCCTCTTATCAGTTACTACTCTGTCCTTTTGTTAGCCTTTTCCTCACTTTATCTGCTGACTCTCTCTGCCACCACAGATTTATCTGCTTTTATTCTCCATTATCTACCTTATGTGCCATTCTTCTTATCCTCAATCAGCTCTCCCATGTCCCTTAAACTCCCCATTCGAGTATCTGCTGTGTGTAACTGTCTGTTTATCATTTCATAAAGGCAATTACTGACAGAAAACATACACAATCGATTTATTTCAAACTATTTCAACCGTTGTAGCTGAAGTAAATGTGCAGTGGCGTTGCTCGGTTCATTTCCCAAAAGTCCAGGGCTTAATTGTGCAGCAGAGATGTTTTTCTGCCTCTCGGGGCCTCATTACAATAAATCAGGAGGTTTGTTTCTTCATTACCCTCTATAAGTGGCACCGCATGTTCGGCACATATTGATAAGATATTGGATCATGCTCTTTAATCAACCACATCAGCACACCGTCCAGTGTTCAATATCTTATTGTCCCGGGGCGGGATGAAACACAAGTCAGGAAGCCCTGTATCGAGCAAAGTGAGACACATTGTCAGAAATCAAATCGTTTCCTGGCAGAAACATGTCCCTGTGTGATTGAACCTTTGATTTTGATGTAATTGCGCGAGGTGTGACGCCCCTACTCCCCTCTCCTCTCTCACTCCTTTCTTGTACCTTGTTTTGCTTTCATTTGGAATATAGTCAAATCCAATGTTTTGATTGTGCTTCTGTCGACTTGGACGGTTTGATGATTTCACTGAGCAGAACATTATGTTTTGAGCGTTTCCCTTCACACCATCTGCCTCCTCCGTGGCCTTCAAGCCAATCGGATTACTTCATGTTTCTTTTTTCTATCCTTGTTGTTTTACTTGTTCAGCCTCAAGCGAAAGTAAACCCCTGGCTCTTGTTGCTACTGGGCTCTAATAGGGGTGAAAGCAAGTCTACTCCCCTTCCTTTTCCCTGGGTTTAGTTGTTTATCCACCGCTGTTTGGATCAATTTCTGGATACCTCATCCACGAGAAAAGCTGCACCTACAGTTTTGGATTGTTTCCTTTCATCCTCTCTCCATCTCTCTCACTCTGGCTTTATTTTGGTTACCCGATCCCTCTATTTCTATCCCTGGCTCCCTCTCTGCCACTCCTCCATTCTCTGTGATTTCTATTATGCCTCTTTTAACTTCTCCTGTTGTTGTTTTGGTGTGTGTCCAGGTCAGTCATCCAACGGATCCGTGGGGGAGGTGTCGATGCAAGTGACTCTCATCTCTCACCCTGGCACTGGAGAGCACAAAGTCAGCGTGAAGGGTGAGCATCACCTTTACTCAGACTTACTTTGTGACATTCCTGTTTAATAGTATTAACACCTGCACATGTTCAAAGACACAGCATGGACAGCTCATGGCGGTAATCTCATTTATATGATAGTGCTGCTGGGCCATGATTAGCAGCATTGTTATAAATGTCTGCTTTGAACAGAAAATAAGGACATTAAGGACCTTGGAGGCGTGTGGCGCAGTGGATAGAGCGTTGGTGTTGGGATCAGATGGTCACAGGTTCAAACCCCACTGCAGTCAGCATGTCGTTGTGTCCGTGGGCAAGACACTTCACCCCAAATTGCTTCTGTGGGGATTGTCCACAGTATTGAGTATGTAAGTCGCTTTGGATAAAAGTGTCTAACAAGTAACAAGTAACATTAACACACAGCTGGGGTTGTACTAACTATATACAGTAGGTCTCGTTTTTTTATTCTTTTAGTCACTGAGGAAGTCACTTATCATTTATTGCTCGGAAAAGTGTTTTTACCTGCAACGCTAGTACCACCAACAGTTTAAAATGTGGGGCTTTTCATCAAATGTCTTGACAATTTACGGATGTATTGCGACAGAATTATACAAAGACATTAGCAGTGGCAAGAAAATGTGTTTGTCAAGGTGTTCATTTATCCACTCAAATAACTCCACATTTACATGATGGATTAGCACAACGTTTTCGCAGTTAGGAATCTTGATGACATCTAGCGACATCAGCAGATCAATGTTGTTACAACCAAAAACCTGCGTCTATGACTCTCCTATCCTCCTGATCTTTGTTTCCTAAATGTCGGCGACAACGATCGGACTCATCGATGCCAATGATTTCCGTTCCCCCTCCTGAAGTCGCACCATACGCACTGCAGCTGGCAATCAGCTGTAATCAGCCCACAGCAGTTACATGACAACGTGATTGCCAGCGAGGTTAATATAGCAATCATAGATGGATGTTTCTATTTTGACAGGATGAAAACATGCACTTTAGCCTTTCTTTATTATTTTCCCTTGACAACCATAACAGACCAAAATAGAAATAAAAAACAGTATCAGTATCTCAGGCTTTTATGGTAGATGTATCGACCATGCTAAATGTTCTGCATATAATGATAATGTTGCAATTTGACTCACAGGCACTCACATCTTATGATGATTACCAATAATATTCCAGAGAGGTGGAAATGTATCTGCTATCAAATTATTTTGTACTTGCTCTGAAAGCATCTCAGCATAAAATAATAAATGTGTATACATTCAGACAATCATCTTGGTGAAGAGGATAAAGACACTTCCAATAATAGGGCCAAGAATACATTTAAACAATGCTAATGTTTGACGAGGATCTGCTTTACCTTAAACCTTATCTACACTTCTGATAATTATTTTGTGTGTTTCTCAGTGGTCGCAGTGAACAACCTCATCTGGCAGACCAACGCCATGTTCCGGCCGTTTGTAGAGGTCAACGCCGTGGGACCGCACCTGGCTGACAAGAAGCGCAAATTCAGCACCAAGACCAAGAATAACAACTGGTCACCAAAGTACAACGAAACATTCCAATAGTAAGTCACCGTGCTGAGTGTTTGTTACAGAGGGGAGGAGAAAGGGGGCAACATGTTTAAAAGCACCTATTATTATTACCTGGGATGGGAGGGTTACTTTAAAAATGTATTATGTTACAATAATTAGTTACATGTTATAAAATATTATTAGTAACTTAAACTAAGTATCACAATATGAAAGTAATGTATCCTGATTACTTTCCGTTAGAATATCAAATGCAAAAAACAAGAGAAAAGAATATGTTTTTTTTTTACTTGAGTGTCTTATGTAACGCAACAGAACAATGTAACCAGGAAGAAACCAAGATATTTAGTATCAAAAATGTGTCCTTTTAAATTATGGGATAGACCTACAGAATAAGGTGTTAGTTTAATACAAGAAATAAAAGAATTACGTGAATAAAGTAACCTTTTTTGTTGTATCCTGATTACATAATCCTGTTACAAATAATCTGTGACTCCCCAAGCCTGATTACTACTTTGTAGCATGTTATACATACAACCTAAAAGTCTAATTTCTGTGACATCCTGTACCATAACCATGTAACAGTGTCTTCAGAGAAGTGTTCAGTATGCTTTCTGCACACTAAAGTCTTGCCTCCAGCAACCTACATAAAACATTATACCTGTAATACCTTACTCCAAAAGTTGTTCCAGTAGTTGTAGGTTGTGAGTGGGGTTCAAATTGCTTCACCGACACTTTTGCTGCATTGAAACTCTTGAAGGAAGTGAAGAGACGGTTTGATTAATCTTTAGGCTTGTCTCTTCTTTACCACTGTCATTCGGAGCCGATCCAACTAAAGTCACACAGCTTAAATGGTTTTAGTGCGAGATGTAGCAACACCTTCGCGATCAGTGCAGGCTCAGGGCTGTCTGCATTTGGATTCACTTCTGGCATGTCATTTTAATTTTTACGAAGTCGTAAAAGTTGCTGGGGATATCAGAAAATAACCTGAAACAAAAAGATGGTTTGAAACAAAGAATCATTTGAATAGAGCAATTCATTTCACTTGCAAAGCATGATTGAAACGACTCATCACAGCCACACAGATACTAAGATGGTTTTTCGGTAGTTGTCCCGCAGCCAGAGACTTTTACTGACATCCAGCTGCCAAGAAATCCAAATGTCAGTATCCAAAAGCAATTGGTGTGTGTCCATGAACAATTCCTCAGAGTGACACGTTGGCCTTTTTGTTTAATTTGATCCATCTTTAAAAAATTACATAAAAGTCAAGTTAATTTTAAGTGACTTTCAACTAATTTGACAGTTTGAAATGGTAACTGACTGTTCTATTATCCAGGTTGAATCATCTCCTTTTTATATCCTGTTATATAGTACTGCAGTGTAGTCAAACAGCCCTGATTTAGCTTGTGAACATAATATTTGTCCCCTCTCTGATCTCTCGCTGTCTTTCCTCCGCAGTGTTCTCAGTAACGAACACGGTCCGGAGGTCTACGAGCTCCACGTCTCAGTGAAGGACTACTGCTTTGCTCGCGACGACCGCATCATCGGCATGACGGTGATTCAGCTCAAAGAGCTGGCGGACAATGGCAGCTGCTCCGCAAACTACCCCCTGGTGAAGAGCATCTCCATGGACGAAACCGGCCTCACCATCATGAGGATACTCTCTCAAAGGACCACAGACGAGGTGGCCAAAGAGTTTGTGCGTCTCAAGACGGACACACGCTCGGCGGAGGAAGTGTCGTAATGTGCAGCAAAAACGCAGTATTAAAAGAGTTGTGTTGTCTTAAGTGGAAGATGAATAGAACAGGGAGAAGGAGAAAGGGCAGTAGCAACAGATGTTCTTTCTGAAAAGAAGCTGGAGAATGTCCAAAGCGAAGCGCAGGAGGCCCACATGTGGCGAGGCAGCAAGACAGTGACAGAGAGAGAGAGTTGTGTTTGTTTGTTTGTTTTTGTGCATGTGCGTAAAACATCTGTTGGAATGTTCATTTTAAAAACTACAGTATGTACAAGTGTTTACTTACCGTATGCTTACTATTAAGTACTATATTCTACGAGTTATGTTAACGAGACATGAAATACCTTTTGTACAACATTTAGTCTTTTTGAACAGAATTTGTTCCAATAAAGTGCCAAACCAGTGAAAAAAAGAACAAAACCAACGTATATGAATTATGGTGAACTTAGTATGTTTGAAATTTGCTCGATTATTTTGTCCGGTGTAAGTCATTTTCTGACAGTGTGGCGTTTTGATTGTTGCAGAGTCTTTTCATTTTGCACCCTCGTTTTTTGGCTTCACGTTCTTCCTCACAGCACTGTTGTGCATGTCCTCTTCTCGGTCATGTCTCTCCCATGATTCCACAGTGACCACCGAGCAGGGTCCTGTCCCCTTGCCTTCAAACTGTTTGTATTTTAAGTCGACCTGAAAATAGACCATGTTTTTTTAAATGGCGATGACTGCTATGTAAACCTTCATAGGTGTTTGTAATTTTATAACCATGACAACAATGACGACAGCCTCCAGTGCTAACAGTCTTAGCAGAAAGGATGGAAATGTTTTTCTTTTTTTTTTCCCGGGCTTTTTGTTCCTTGTTTTTGGCCATCAGCTTCCAGCCTTTCTGAATGACCACTGTGAACATGAGCTTTGGAAGGCAAGCTTACATGACATTACTGACAGTTTGATATTATTGTTTCATATTTTTCCGATAACTTTGTTCCTGATTAACTGCCAAAGTTATATCAAATATTTGTACAAAAGCAATCCATTACATGTATGATATATGATGAAATATGTACATGTGATCTATTACTTTTTCAATGCTTAATATATGATTATTGATAGGGTGGTAATAAGATTTTATTTTTTTTATTTCCTATGAAGCTGTTAACCAATATGAAAGTTGCACATGTTACTTTACACATTAGTTATATCAGCTTCTGTCATTGGAATTTATTTTCTTCATAAAGGAAAGAGTAACATTTGGTAAATATGCAACATTCCTATGTATTGCACTGATGGCGAATTGTATGTCATGTAAATATATTTAGTGAGATATTGTACAAAAGTCTACTTTTCTTCAATGTGCATAAAGTATGTGCAAATGTGTTTAAACATCTGGGTCATTTTGAGCAATCGTTGGAGCAAGCATCTCTCTAACACATACATGTGTATTTATCATGGGGTTTTTATGATTGAAGCTTCAGATTTAGGTAGAGTTATTGGAGCTGAGTTGTTGAAAATTAGAATATCAAAACATTGAAAATAATGTACTCTCTGGGAGCAGTTTGATCAGGTTTGCTAGACTATGACGTTCGGTCTAAAATAGCCTCAGTTAACATGATGACAATTATGGTCAGTTGCATTTAAAGTGGACCTATTATGCTATATTGGAAAAATATATTGTAGGGCCATACCTATACAAAACATGTCTGTGAAGTTTTTTGCTTAAAATACCAAACAGATCACCCAATGTAGCCATGCCTCATACTGCTCATACCCCTCTTTTGCAGCCGTTAGAGAAACGCGGATTTTGGGTCGTTAGCTTGAAAAAAGAAAAAGAGGAGGCGGAGCTAATGCCTGATCAGAATTCTACCGGAGATAAAGTTAAATTCTGCCATCCTGTTCTAAACCACATCAAGGATTATTTCTGAAACAGTATGGAGCTCAAATGCTTTTTCTCTTGCGGGTTTACCACAAGGTGAGTTCCTTTTTTTATTTCCTGCTTTTTAAACACATGTGCTCTACAGTACAGGTTAGCTCGGAGTGTTAGCGAGGCTTGCTAATGTAAACAAAGATGAGATTACGTCCAAAACACTTAAGGCATTGTTTCTGATAGCAACTTTCTGTGGGTTCACCATCCGAAATTACGTAATATCGGCAGCAAATCTGTATCCGCTCGTTGTACCCCGTTTTTAAAAGATTTGGGTACAGAGGAAAAGAGAAAGGGTTTTATTTTTTGATGCTGCCTGAGGTCCCCGACACACTGGGGACACATAGTTATGTATAAAATACATAAAAAAATGTGCATGATAGGTCCCCTTTAAAATTGGTAAAAACCCTAATCTGTGTTTCAGAAAATGATTTACACTGTTTTGCAGATCTGTTTGCTCCTACAGTATAGTGAGTGTTATACGGTGATGCACATAAAACATTTGGACAATACACTTTGGTTTCTAAAGAGCCGTTCTGAAGTTTAAAGTGCAGTGCCCACACCGCTACTCTACACTAAAGAGGTGGAGCAGCGTAGATGTTCGCTAGCCGCTTGCGACCTGTGAGAGCACCCACCTGTCACTCAAAGCGTACTTTACTGTTGGCCACATCACTATAAGAAATATGCTTTTTTCATATGCTTTTTTCCCTCATCAATACCTTCATCTTAGAACACCCACAATGCAACTGGACCAGCTTCAGTACAGTCAGAGATGTTGGTGTATGTTGCTAATAGTGGCTAATGTATCCTCAGGTGGTTAGCCTCAAGAAGAGATGAAGAGCGGGCTGCAGAGGTCTGTAATCTCACTTCTTCCCTACTTTCACTTCTTCCCACACCCTGGATTGATCCAACCAACACTGGTTTATGACATAAATTGGGACAATATATCAACCTGCATACACTGTAGCTCCATTAGAGTTGTTTTTATTATGCAAATATCCACTTGTACTTCACAAGGCTTCACAGTTTTTGATGTGGATTTGCTGCAGTCTCTCTTAACGTTACAAACATCCCTCAATACATTCATGAAGCATATATTATATTCTAAATATGTCTTGCAATCCTCCCTCAATAGGAAGAGGAAGAGGTATCCTTAAAATTAAATAATTATGACTGTGCTTTGGGAACTACGGGATTGCTTAAAAGTAAAATATGTATTTCATGGTTTTGAGTGACAGGCCGAGACACAGTGTTCTGACTGATTTCCGACTGCACAGACTCTTCCAACTCGTGTCTGTAACTTAGTCACAGATATCTGAGTCATTTTTACCTGTTGATGCTCACTCTATGAAAACGCCTACAGAAACTTTCACTGGAAACTGTAATCCTTCGCACTTAACATGAAGGCTTTTACTTTGCCAAAGTTACAATTTTTATGCTTGATTTCATGGTGCTTCAGATGAGTGTTTTCAGATCAGTTGTGCTCTACTTACTGTCATTCAACACCCACAGGAAGAAATCCAAGTTTGTGTCAGAAAATAATCCCCAAAAAACACGTCATCTGCCAAAACTTCAATGACACAATTATGGAGGCGTGTGGCGCAGTGGACTTGTGCGTTGGTGTTCGGATAAGGGGGTCACAGGTTCAAACCCCACTGCAGTCAGCATGTCGTTGTGTCCCTGGGCAAGACACTTCACCCCAAATTGCTCCTGTGGGGAGCAATTTGTAAGTATGTAAGTCGCTTTGGATAAAATCGTCTAACATGTAATGTAATGTATTTTTATTTAGAGAGCAGTTCATTTCTTGCTAAATGGGAAAATGTAGACTCAAGCTAAAGACGTATGTAACGAGTGGATACGATAGTATTATTGTAAGATTACTCATGGGTAGTAATTTAGGGAAATGCTAACTCTATAAATGTAGACAGAGGTCTATTTTACAATTCAGACTAAAACATACATTTCAAAGAAACACTGATAAAACTACATAAAACTGGTTCCTTAGAGAGAAATTGCGGTTCACTGTAAACTGATTTATCTCGGCTCGGCCGGTCACTTGGTCAAAAACCCACTCAGTGTATCTAATCACCTGGAAGCTGCACATAAGAGGGCCGGACCAAGTAAGTCCATTTGTCAGTGTCACCCTTTTGTCTTTTCTTTTCTGCTAGTCCATTTGGGAAAGAGATTGGGAAAGTGAGAACATCAGAGATACCAAGAGAGTAATAGAAAACAGGGAGTAAGAGCCCAATGGAGATATGGAAAACTGTTTTAAAAGAAAAACATACAGAAAGTACAAAGTCCTAAGTTATAGTGCAGAGAGACATCAATGCAGTTGTTTCATACTGGCATGATGGTCCTTTTTGAGTGTATTGTAATTTGATGTATATACATAGAGAGTCTTGTAAGCAAGTTTTCTGAATGAAAATGTTGGTGTTTACATCCTTCATTGACAGGGTAATAGGGTGATTTGTTTCATCTGTGTTTTCCTGTTATGAGGAGTCAACATGAAGTGAAAAAGGTGTTTATTTTCCATCACATTAGCCGAACAACATAATATAGATTCATAAGCACGAAGAGAAAAGGAGAAACACAAATGATAAAGCTTCTTTTAAGTTCAAATACCTTGAAGCAGCAGTGCAACACTTTTTGAATAAGGCTTTGCTTTACGAGTTTGAGAAGGTCAATACAACTTATGTGACAAAAAAGAAAATAAGTGTATGTTCGAAAATGTTGGTGTACTCCTACAGCAGGGGTGTCAAACTCAAGGCCCGGGGGCCAAATCCGGCCCGTGACTTCCTTTTATGTGGCCCCACAAGAGCTTGCAAAGAATATAATATGTTTATTATAAGGTTACATGCCGATTTACAGAAGCACGTTGCCCATAAACTACATGTCCCACAATGCATCTCAAAATATGCCTTTTTTCTCTGAATTTGACTTTTTTTCTTCAAAATATTCTTTTTTTTCTCAGAATCTGACTTTTAAAAAAAAAATCATTTTGTGACATTCTCACTGAAGAGACTTATTAAGTCATTACCCTATCCGATAATAATCCAATGCAGACGGCAGTAATGTAATATAATACATTATTTTATTAAATATTTATATATGTATTTTTTGTATGTATATAAAACTGGCCCTTTGAGTGCAACCATGATGCTAATGTGGCCCGAGATGAAATTGAGTTTGACACCCCTGTCCTACAGTAATATAACTTTTGAAACTTGTTTTCTGGGGATGACATTTTTAAGGTGACCTTCCACAACAACCTGGGAATTGTGCTTTTTAACAAGCAAAACTATGTGTTGTATACAGATGATATATTCAACTTGTGCGCACAACTACAGTGACTTCATGTGGCAAGTAAGTATGACTTAAGGGAGGTGTGTGGTGCAGTGGACTAGTGCGTTGGTGTTGGGATCAGGGTAGTACAGGTTCAAACCCCACTGCAGTCATCATGTCGTTGTGTCCTTGGGCAAGACACTTCCCCCAAAATTGCTCCTGTGGGGATTGCCCACAGTATTGAGTATGTAAGTCGCTTTGGATAAAAGCATCTAACAAGTAATATGTAATGTAATGTAATGTAATGTTAAGATAGAGTAAATGCTACATATAATGCTATATCTTCAGTATAAGAACATTGTCTTAATGGCAGATCTATTTTAAAGGACAGATGGTTCAAATGCATTAGAAGAGTATCGATATGAACATAGATGTGATGGATCACTAAGTACCAGTTTAATCAATGCAGGAGCTACAGCAATATATATATAGATTTGTGATGCCTTTAAATGAATGCACTGTAGCAAAATACTGTGACATTACTTAGTCAAAGTAACATTAGGTGCGCTTGAATGAGTCCAAAATTAGATTGAATAACATTACAGGTAATTGCATCATTGTTTTGGCTTTTTAAAATCCCTGACTGCTCCAATCCCCCACGTCATCTGCTATTGTGTTAGCAGTTTTCTTATATCCTGTTCTTTTCTTTTCCTAAGCCAAGCATGCCAGTCACAGCAGCTTGTTTCTTCACCGTGTTATAGGGACATGTGGAAGAAACAAGTTCAAATAAGAAAACAACCAGAAAAGAGAAGAATCAGAAGCAGGGGGGAGGGAAACGCTGTCACTCATGTTTTCCCTGAAGGCAGAGAAGATGGAGTAAAATACTAACCTGACTCATCCTGCCGTAGAGCTGCCAAGATTCAAAATTACATCAACTTTGTCTTGCTCAACCTTGACCTCTCATTTGCATATTGTCAACTCCTTCAGGAATTTTTTGACTCATCATCTGCAACACACATAGGACACACTGATGCTACTCCAATATGATCTCTGAGGATGGGCTGGTTGATATGATTTATGGTAAAAATGAAGACCATATCGTTAACCCCACAGCCCTATCTGTGTGTGTGTGTGTGTGTGTGTGTGTGTGTGTGTGTGTGTGTGTGTGTGTGTG